TGTAAAAAAAAAAAAAAAAAAAAAAAAAAAAAAACCCTCCACAATGGTTTAAGGAATCAGTAGGTTTAAAGGTTTAAATGAATTATTTGATGTTAGAAAAAAAAGTATTGTATGCACAGATAATGAACTATATAAGCACATTTACAAATACTGCTACCTCTTATTATACTGATGTTGTATTAAAATTATGCAAAAAATGAAGTTGACAGTAAGAAGCATGAATTTGAGCTCAAGTCAAACTTATAAATTCACAAAAATAGAACATTTTCCTCCAAAAAAGCTAGTATATATGTCTTAGTAAAACAAATAGATTATGACTGATAGATTTAGATTTTATATTGATAGCCTCAAGTTGTAAGTTGGTGATAACTGGGAAAATGTTAGTCCTTGTCACCTGGAATTGTGGCAGAAAGTAATTTACTTAGACGTACCTAGCTATTTGGACAGGTGAGAACTTCATAAAAAAGAATTAAGAAATGAAATTCACATCTAAAATGTAGGGTCTGCATTTTATTCACTAACAGTACCTGTTAGCAGTCAAGTGATTGACTACACAAAGGTTTAGTGTTTCTTATATTCCTGTTATTTATTTCCAGGATTGCCTAAACCAGTGGCTCTCAACCTTTCTAATGCTGTGACCCTTTAGTACAGTTCATCGTGTTATGGCGCCCCCCCCACCATAAAATTTTTCATCGATACTTCCTAACTGTAATTTTGCTACTCTTACGAATTGTAATGTAAATATCTGATATGCAGGATATCTGAAGTGAACCCCTGTTGGGGGTCATGACCCACGGGTTGAAAACCATTGCTGGCGTAAACATTTCCTGTGTCCATAATTTCCCCCACAGATATAGATGAATGCGCGCTGGGTAGCGCAAGCTGTCCTACCACGTCATCCGAGTGTATTAACACCGAAGGTGGCTATGTCTGCAGGTGCTCTGAAGGCTATGAAGGAGATGGGACCGACTGTTTCGGTGAGCGCACAGGTGCCAATGGACAAGGGAGGGGGAGGAGCCAAGCTAGAGAGAGTCATCAGAAGTTGTGGTTGCTGTGGGCCAAGAGAAAGGCAGGATACACTTGGAGAGAGACACATGTCAAGAATAAAAGAGACGTTGTGTGACCTGTTCAGACAGATGTAGTTTAGGTCTCGGTAAACAGTCTCTTGGCCACAATGCACAAGCCAAGCTGCCTGAGGAGGTCGTCTGCCTCTTTTTCTTCTTTGGTTCCTTCTCTGGGGTTTGAGGGATGGAGGCTCATCAGTGCTGTGTTGGAGGCCATCAGTGGGCAGCTGGGCAGCACTTCTTTGTCACTGAGTGTGGCAACTGGACTTCAGTGAAATGCAGAGGTGGTGTGGGTGTGTTGGGAGTCACTGTGTGCATAAACAAAAGGACCGGTGGCTCCCAGGCAGGCGTAGGGTGTTTCTTACTAGTTCAATAGAAGAGAGCTTCTAGCACTGACATTTCACTGCAAGTTCAGAATGATTGAAAGCCCTTTCATAACCACTCTCCTCTGCCAAGGGCTGGGTGGGGCTGTGGGCTGGGAGTTCACCCTGTGGATGTCTTGTGCTGCCCCAGGTGTCAGCATCACTGCACAAGTGGAGGCCTGCCCTAGGCCACCCACACCCAGTACAGTGCTTAGCCATTTTCCCAGGGCTTCCTGGCTCCTCTTCTGGGCTTTTCTTTTCCTTCTGAAAACAAACAGCGAAGGGCAGATGCCTGATAAGAAACTCAAGTGATGGTGTTTTCTCTCCATTGTGAAGGTCATGACTGTCCATTTGTGGATCTGGTTGGCTTAAGCCAGACGTTATCAGATTCGGTCTGTGCAGCCCACAGACATCTGAAAACACACCTTTAAGCACACATTTGGCAGGCAGTCAGGAAAATGTCACGGCACTAATTAAGCAGGCTCACAGATATTTGGGCCAAATAGACGTCATATTTCATTTCTTTTGAAGAGAAAAGAAGGTATATTTTCTCAGAGACTTAAATTCTTTATAGACTCTAGATTCCCTCTGTCACTAACCTATCTCCTATCAGATACGCCAAAGGGTGTCATGGCCCTTTCTTGCCTAGCTCCTTGGGGTCTTCAGGACCATAGAAGCCATAGATATGCTTGTGTTTTCTATCATTGTACCTCAGTGTGTGTGTGTGTGTGTGTGTGTGTGTGTGTGTGTGTGTATGTGTTTGATAAGTAGGTGTTTTAATTAGTGTTACTATTGCTGAGATGAAACACTATGGCCAAAGCAACTTGGAGAAGAAAGGGTTTATTTCAGTTTACATTTCCAGGTAACAGTCCATCATGGAAGGAAATCAGTGCAGGAACTCAAACGAGGCAGGAACCTAGAGACAGGAGCTGATGCAGAGGCCATGCTGCCTATTGGTTTGTTCACCTTTTTTTTGTTTTTTTTGAGACAGGGTTTCTCTGTGTAGCTTTGGAGCCTAGGCTGGCCTAGAACTCACAGAGATCTGCTTGCTTCTGCCTCCCATCGGCCTCTTTTCTTAACCTAGGACCACCAGCCTACCAGCCCATATCAATAGCCAATTAAGAAAATGCTCTACAGGCTTGCCTACAGCCCAGTCTTATGGATGCATTTCTTAACTGTGGCTCCTTCCTCTCAAATGACTCTAGCCTGTGTCAAGTTGACATAAAATTGGACAGGACAGTAGGGGTGGTTCTGATGAATGGGCCATTTTTGGCTCACAGAAGCTACCTTCTTGCTGCAACCTCATGGTCTTTCCTCTGTGGTGTACAGGAACCCTGGTGCTCCTTCCTCTGTGAAGGACACAGATCCAACAGGACACCCTCCTACTGTTCTTGTTTAACCTTAGACAGCTCCTTACAAATGATGTCTCAGATACAGTCCACTGGGAGCTAGGGCGTCAGGACAGAAAGATTTGGAGAGGTGTTTCAGTCCCTACTATTAGCAGAAGTCTGAGAGGGGCTGTTGTAGCTATTTACTTCCCTGAATCAGCCCTTTCTTAAGCTTTCTAGCTGCTGTTTTATGAACATTAAAAGGAAGCAGGTGACACTAATTTTAATCGTACATTGTATGTGTTCTAATATATCAAAAATAGTAACATTTTACTATGCAATCAGTATTTTAGATGTTTATGCTTTAACTTGCATATGAAAACATAAAACTCTGGTGCGTACTTTAAGGCAGCATGGCATGGATTAGAGGGCTAGACACATTTAGAGAGCCAGTACTCCCACAGGAAACGTCTTGCAGTACTGGACAGCACAGCTGTAGGTAACAGAAAAGCCTCTGGCATGTCCCTAAAGTGGCAGGCACAGTTGTGAGCTCACCACTGTGTGATCTAGGGAGACTCTTGTGTTTGGGAGTGGCCTAGAGGAGACATGGGATGCTGGAATACAGCAAGGCAGCTCTCCTTCGTTTGTTACTGGCCTAGAGGAGACATGGGATGCTGGAATACAGCAAGGCAGCTCTCCTTATAGTAATTTAGTTCAGACATTAGAAGACCTAGCTGAGAAGGACAAAGGCTGGCAGCAGGGCTAATGGAGGGCTCATTTATATAACTCATACTTGTGTTTAGGAAAGTGTTGTATTTGATATGTCATTTATGCCAATAGCTGAGCATCTAGTTGAAAAAACGACGTCTGAGTTTTAGGATATGACATGCTGATTGCTGGATGTGCTCTCCTGACCTCTGGCCTGGACAAGTCTTCCTTCCAAGAGGGATGGGAATCATATCAGAAGCCTAGAATCCCTGAATAGGTGTGATCTTTATTTCCAGCATTCATGGCAGTGCCCCTAAAATGCAAAGGGCCCTGGAGCATGAGGCACCACACAACCTAGAAGAAATCCCCTTCTAGACTGCTGGACCTTGTGGTTCCATAACCCTGCTCCTGTCTCTGCATTCCCTTTCTCTTCTCACTTCTTCCTCGGACAGATATTGATGAGTGCCAGCAGGGGATGCACAGCTGTGGGGAGAATGCCAACTGCACCAACACGGAGGGAGGTTACAACTGCACTTGCCTGGGCCGCCCATTTGCACCTGGACTGCCTTGCCCCGGTAGGTGGATGGGTGGTCCAGGTCAACCGGGAGGAGCTTGGTTCAGAAAAATCCTGATTGCCTTGGGGATTCTAGAAAGCACTGTTTAATCAGGCTGGAAAGCTGGATTTCATCACAAAATCGATGCTGGGCAGCAGAGCTGGAGATGATGCGGGCTTTGTTAACTTCACAGCATCTGTAATAAACCTATCAACATCATCATCATCACCATCATCATCACCATCATCATCATCATCATCATAACTATTACTCACAGTTCAGTATAGGTGGTCCTCCTTAACTAAGTCTGTGACTACTTTCCGTTGGTTGGTTGTTTTCAGGGGCTGTGGGAAAAACTTTGCTGGCCTAGGCAGGCCAAGACTATAACTGGACTTGTAATAGTATATTTTGTTTATTCCAGCACATACAAATGTTAAGACTTTCAGAGGTAACCTGTATAAAATTTTATATCTACTTAAATTTTGGTACTAAATCTTAAAAATCTGGTATGTATTTTACACATACAGCGCACATCAGTATGGGCTTCAGGCCAGGGCACCGTGTTGCCCAGCACAGGGAACCCCTAGCAACTTTTCAGTGGCGTGGAGCAGTAATGGGAGAAGAATCACTTTCAAGGACTTTTGTTTGTTTGTTTGTTTGTTTGTTGTATTTCGAGACAGGCTTTTCTGTATAACAGCCCAGGCAGTGCTGGAACTTCTTTGTAGACCAGACTGGCTTCAAACTCACAGAGACTCACCTGCCTCTGCCTCCCTAGTGCAGGTCTAAAGGCGTGCGCCAAGGAGTTTTCAAGGATTACGTTCAAGGATTTTTAAATTGCTTTATAAAGTCAGCATGTCTGGAGGTGAATTAGCAACCCAGCCAGCTTTTGTTTCTTTAAAACAGTTACCACTACTGGCTTTCACTTCACAAACCACGACATCTGCACCCCACAAAGAAACTGGGTTCTCCAAGGCCCTGGCAGCCAGGGCAGAGCTCTTACCCTCTCAGCTCTGCAGAGAAGTTCGTTGCCTGGGTTCTGGCTTTTATAGTGAATTGTTTTATTTTATTTTTCCTCAGATAATTTCCTTCATTCAAAAGGTATTGAAGGTAAGTACAGAGGCTGGTGCCTGCAATCCCAGGAGCTGGGAGGCTGAGGCATGGGGATTGCTACGAGCTTGCGGACAGCCCAAGCTACAGAGAGACCCTGACCCCCTCAAAAAAAAAAAAGACCAAAGAAACCTGTAAAACTTCTTTGTCAGGTGCACACCCCAATGCCTTCCCTTTAAGAAGTAGGAAACTATTCAAAATCAGAAGGCTTCCCCTCTTTGACTTTCCTTCGTTACTGTAACACTCTCTTCCCATCAGTTGCTACAGTCTAATGTCTGAAAGGGTCCCCAGTCCATTTCAGATTGAGGATGACCCCTCCTTTCTTTGTCTCTAGTGTATTTTATATCCAGTAGCCCAAATCCAGAGAAAGAAGTATAGCACAAATAATAAAAACCCAGAGACAGATATTGGGTTCAAGCTGAAGATCAGAAAAGCAAAGCCACCAAGCCACTTGAGCGCTCTTACCTCTACCAAGGCTGGGGTGACCCTGTCCTCAGCGTGACTGAAGACTGAGACACTGGGCTCCTGTCTGCTTCCATCTTATATTCCTCCCTAGTGCTAGGATGAAAGGTATTTACCACCACGGCCTGGCCTGTATGGCCGACTACTGTGGCTAGCTTTGCATTCTGGTCTTCAGGCAAGCTTTATTTGTTAGATCATAAACAAATGTCACTGCAAAGACGGGCTTGGCTTCTTGGTGACTGACACAAGGCTTGGTTAGGAATATGGAACTTATGGCTCCCGATACTTCCACTGTAATTTGTTCATAGAAACTCTTTGGCTATTCCAGGCTCTACCTCACCCCCTATCCTTGGGGAAGATGGCCGCCAATTGGTCAGAAACAGTAACCCAGGATGCCCACCGTCACATGACGGATATTGTCTCCATGGCGGTGTGTGCATGTATGTTGAAGCAGTGGACAGCTACGCGTGCAAGTAAGTCAAGAGTCTTTCTGATGGCACAAGAGAGCATTGTCGTTCATGATGTTCAGGAAGTTTGTAAAATTTATACAGAGGAGGTTTTTCTACCAGAAGTGGTGACTTTCTTCTTACTTAAGTAACTTGATGAGCATTGTCTGGCGATTCAGTTCCTCATTCAACATGAAAAAGGCAGATCTGTAGGGAATTTACTAAAACCAATTTAGTTTCAGCCAGATTCTAGATTTATAAAAATGTTGCACCTATAGTCACACTAGATTTATGGCCTCTAATGTTTAAAGCTAAAAAAAGTTTCCTTTTCTTCCTAATATCCAGTTTTTAGTGTTGTCTTGGCAGAAAAGGTTGAGCGATGAAACAGCTGCTGTTTGCTCCTGTTTAGCTCCCCTGAGCAATATGGCAGGCCAAGTTTTGACCTGAAGAGATTCCAAAGACCCAGAGTTCTGAGACACTCCCATGGCGCCCACACAGAGAGCCTTTCTGTATAATAAAGGCATGTGTGGGGTTGGGGAGAAGGGTGAGTCAGCAAAGGAAGGGAGCCTGGGTTCAGATCTCTGGCACCCAGATAAATAGGCAGGTGGGGCAATGTGAGCTTGTACCCCAGAACTGGAGAGGTACAGACAGGAGGGTCCCCAGAGCCTCCTGGATCAGTGAGCTCCAGGTTCCCTGAGAGACCATATCTCTAAATATAAGGTGGAAGATCTAGACAGGCTTACTAGATAAAAACTCTCCCAACCATGCCTGGGACCCGAGTTCAGTCACTGAGACCCATGGTAGAAAGAGAGAATAAGACTCATTCAAGTTGTCTTCGGACCTGCACACATGCTCTGTGGCATCTATGCATGCATGCACACACACACACATACACACACACACACACAAACATCTATACACATAAACATATATACATATACATACATACACAATACACACATATAAACATACATACATACATACATATATGCACATATACTCATATACACATACACACACATATATACACATACACTCATATACATACATATATGCATATACAGCCATATAAACATATACACAAACACACACACACCCATACTCACACACACATGCACCCATACACACACATACACTCATACATACACACACATACACTTATACACATTCACATACCCAAACACACACACATACATCCATACACCCATACATCTATACATGCATACACACACACGCGAACACACATATACATCCAGACACCCATACACCAATACAAGCACACAATCATACACCCATACACACACACACACATATCCATACATCCATACGTGTGTATACCCATACACATAAATAAATTAAATAAATAAATAAATAAAAATAACAGTTGTTAAGAGGCAGAGCACAAAAGAGGAGGATAACTGGTATCTGTTTCTAGTCTCCATGTGCAGTTGCATACACACCCCAAATATGCTGTATCTAATTCAGGTCGACATTTTACCTTTAACGAATTTCACATGTTCAAGATAGATGTGTAAAATACATAGTCCCCCAGGGCCGGGGCTGTGATCCTACTGAGTAGATGGTATGGGCTTAAACAATTTTGTCATTTTTATTAGCAATAATGAAAAAGAGTCTGAATTATTGGAGGAAGAAGAAGCTATATGTTTTGACAGACTATATGATCTTACATTAAAAATCATGTCAGCCTGACAAAGATTGTGGAACTGTTTGGAAATATTAGTAAAATGACCCAATTACAGTAGAGTTCTGCTTTCAGGTCTATATTTACATACTGTGATTTTCTAACTCAAGAGTCTTTTAAGTATCATAATAAATTCTAACTAATCGTCTTTAATGTTAGCAACCAATTGTTTTTATCTACACACTTTATCCTATTCTACCAAATAGGGAATTATAAAAGTGGATGTCTAGTTGATTGTCTGTGGTTTTTTTCCTCCATGGTAGTTAACTTTAGGTCCCCAAATCACTATTGCAATATGAAGGATACCAAAGGGCTATAGTGCATTGCAGTGGCGCAGTTTTCATTTTAATCTGATTCTGATGATTCATCAACACACCTTTCTTTTTAGCATTAATTCCCTATGAAAACATCGTCTTTCTTTGGTTATGCTCTAAATACAGGTTACCAAAAGATGACAATTAAGTCGGGCAGGGCAAAGGCACAGGAGTGCACCTGAAATCCCAGCACTAGGGAAGTAGGGGGAGGAGAATCAGAAGTTCTAGGCCATTCTTGGCTACAAAGTTAATTGAAGACCAGCCTGGGTCACGGAAAACCCTATTTTAACTAAACAAAAGATAACACACATAAGGACCTTTAACCAAAAGCAATATTTAAAATCACTGGTGTTCACAATCGTTGGAGCATAATTTTATTTTATTTTGAATTGATTTAATAAAAATGTGGCTTAACAGGTTTTCAGAACTTCCTTCCGTTTGTCCGTCAACCTCCCTTACATCGTATTAATTAATTCCGAAGTAACAGACCTTAGGGAGTACCTGTCAGTGCAGCTTTTTCAGGAGCACATCACTGTCTTCCTGCACAGAGTCGCTTCTAAGGGCTCTTCAGAGCCCAGGACCCATGATGTGTGTGTGGGGGGGGGGGGCATGGGCTGGTACTGACTGCCTATAACTTTGCCCACCTGGTTGCTTGGGATAGCCCAATCTCTTGAGCTCCGAGGAGGCCTTCAATCTCTCTGGCTTGGCTTTGGCCAAACACCCTCCTAATACTTCGTTACAAAGCAGGACCCCTTACAGCAGGGCTGTGACATTTCCCGAGGACAAGTCCGGTTGGAGAGTGTTCTGCCATTCTTCACGGACTCATGACTACAACAACTTTTAAGGCTGCTTTACACTCACTTGGTGTATATTGTTTGACCATGGAAACTCAAACTTCTTTTGCCAAACAAATTAATAATTCAAATAATCCACAGCACTCATGGCTGTGCCCTACCCTCTTGTATATTGCTGACTGTGCTGGGCTCTGTTGCTATCATAGCCTGCTTGGCTCTGTAGGACCACTGGCCATTCATTTGACACAGTCCTCAAGACCCCAGATCAGCTTGCAAATGGAGCCCATTAGCATCCAACAGTTTAAAAAAATATGGCTGCTGTTGTAACCAAAATTAGCTAGAATTAAAACAGACCCCAGGAAGCCTGAATAACTTTGTGCTTCCCCCCTCAGCTCCCGCCATCTTTTGTGTAGTCGGTTCTAGAACAATTATCTTTCAGAGGTGAACAGAACACAAAGTCCTGCTGAAAGCACCACAGTGTACGTGTACTAAGTGTTAGGAATAAAGCAGTGGTTTAGGACCACGTGGCAGGTCCGCGGTCCCGCGGGTGATGGACGGTGGGCAGATGGGAAACAGAGAACTGCAGATGTGACTCATGTTGAAGATTTTATAGAGTGTGTGTGTAGGGGGATGAGAAGGTAAAGAGACACAGAGACAGAGAGACCGAGAGAGGACAGATGAGAAGAGGTGCGGGAAGAGAGAGGGGAAGAGACAAAAAAGTCCTGTCTGCCCCTTCAGAGGGAGAGCGGGAAGAGCTAAGGGAAGTGGGTGGAGTCTTTCTTTTAAAGGTTCAGAGTACACATACCTGCCGTGCGCAGGTGGGTGAGAGGCGGGGCCAGGTTTGCCTGGATTACAACCCTAGGGAGCTAGGTTTGACATCTGAGAACCATATGATTCAGAGCGGCCAAGCCTTGGCTGAGTGACCTCATGCACACTATTTAGCGCGGAGCCTGTTTCCTTAGCTGTAAAACAGGGAACGTCCACAAACAATAACGAGTTAAAAAATAGTGAGTAAAGACAGTGTGTCAGTCACAGATGCTTAATAATTACTGTTCCTTTTCTTCCCTCCTCAGAAAGTGACTTTCCACTTTCTTTTGGTGGGTGAAAGGTAGAACTAGGGAATAGACCCCAGGTCTTCTGGAAATTTCAACCGTGTTTTTCCATGCTGTGTCTTCCCACCAGAGCTGCTGGTATCATTTCTGTGCATTCTTTACTTCAGCCCTTTTAGAATAGAGTGGGGACATAGATGTCTGATGGTAGATCCAGGGCTGAGAGAGGAAATTTGAACAGGTTTTTTGTTTGTTTGTTTGTTTGTTTGTTTGTTTGTTTGTTTTTGGTGTTGTAAGTTAAGTCTAATGTGAAGAAAATGCAGTTGTTTCTCTGCATTTTGGTTTCTGGAAACAAGCACTTCCAGTAGATGGCAGCCTTGCTTCACTTACCTTATAATTACAATAACAGTCTTCAGCCAACAGTAAGCTGTTTATAGGTAAATGGCCCCTTGCCCTCAAAATAGCTACTCACCTCTTGTGTCACTATTTTTTTTTTAAATTTTTCTCTTGGAAACAGCAAGCAGTCCCTCTATAACCTAAGCTCTACACGCTGTCCAGAGCCTGCATGCACTTCTATTACAGCCTAGTGTTCAACAAGGCTCCCTACCTTCTAGTTCTTTCCTTTGACCAAACATTCGTTTCCAGGTCTCTCCTGGGTCTTAGGGCAGAATCACTTTGTGTTGGTTTATAAAGGGTGTCTCCTGAGTATGTCTTTCGTCAGTGTTCTGGGTGCCTTATAGAGACAGTATGGAAAGAGGAAAGTTCTCAGGGTTAACGTTATCCGTGTTGATGCGTGCGTGAATCAGTATTTTTAGCTCACATCACAGGCTCACTAAGCTGAATCTAGAAAATTGAAGGAAGAGAGACAACGCATACTGAATTTGTAAGTATCGGGTGCCAGGGGTCTCTGGCTGACTTCTGTTTGTGTGTCATCCACAGCTGTATCGTCGGCTATGTTGGGGAGCGATGTCAGCACCGAGACTTGCGATGGTGGGAGCTGCGCCACGCTGGCCACGGGAAGGAGCGCGACATTACTGTGGTGGCTGTCTGTGTGATTGCACTAGTCCTGCTGCTCCTGTTGGGGACCTGGGTGGTTTACCACTACAGGTAATCCTTTCTTTTCCATGGGACTTGATGGCCTCTTTTCTAAGCCCTTCCGAAGGAATGCCTATTTCCTTGGATGAACTTGAGCAAAATACTTACTGCATTTAAAGGGAGGAATAATCTTTCATAAAAGTCTGGACATCACTGCACTAAAATATCAATGCTCTTCCATTTCCGATCATTGCATATGACTTGTGGTTCTTCATTCTGGTGATGGTGAGGCTCCAACCCAGGACCTCACACATGTTACACTGAGCTGCATCCTCAGATCTCATCTACCACAATGCATCATTGCAGACCAGGGTTTTCTTTTAGCATCACATGCCTACATCAGCCAGCATAACCATGACTGCCTGCTGTTAATTACCCACAACTACTCTTCACTAGAGAAAACCATTATCTTCCCTAACTTGGGAAGGAATCTGGTCATTGGACTTTGTTTTCAATGGTTTAAAATTAATAGTTTAAAACTGGGAAACAGTAACACACATTCATGTAAAACAGGCATCTCACTGCTCGTGTTCATTTGCTTTAAAAGGATAACATGGCACTGTCATCAGCTGAAACAGCTTAGGAAGTGTTATAGTTTGTGCTGTAAATGAAAAAATCAGTGGCTCACAAGGCTCGACTGGAGGGGCTTTATAAAATCATGTGGTTTGAATGCATCATCTTCTGGCTGTGGTCCCCTTACCTGCCAGATGTCAGCTTTCTGGTGAGATGGAGAGTACCTGCTACTACCAGGAAGTAAATATACAACCACATTTACCAAAACTGAAGAAGTACTCCAGTTACAACTGTTTCGTATTCTGGAAAATTCACTATCATCAGCGAAGGTGCTCCCACCAAACACCCTGCTATGCATACTGTATCAGTAAATAGTGTGGAGTCAGCTTGTGCATTTCAAGTCCAAGTTCATGTCTAGAGACCCGCAGGCTGGCTTCCTCCTTCGTGTGCATTATTTTTCTTTGCTATGAGGGATAGGGAAATGGACTTATTTCAAGAGTTGTTGTGAGACTGAGTTAGTCTGAGTTAAGAGTTTATTATAGGCCTGGTGTATTTGGTATAATAGATGATACCTGAAGTTGTTATGGTGATATACTAACATAATCTTCCCAATAAGAGGTATACACTTAACAAACCTTTTTCATCATCTCCTGAGAGACAAGGTTCTCGGGGACAAACTTGAACTTTCAATTTGGTGGCCCATCATTATAACCACACTTTTTAAAAGCCTGTTGTTTATATTCTGTATGCTTGTAGAAAGAATATTGAGTCATCAATGCTGGAAAGAATGTCAATCTACAGATAGAGCTTTAAAAAAAAAAACAGAAAAACAAAAACTTTGCCAAGTGTAGTGACACACACCTATGATCCCAGAACTCAGGAGGCAGAGGCAGGCAGATCTCTGTGAGTTCAAGGCCAGCCTGGTCTACACAGTGAGTTCCAGGACAGCCAGGGCTACATAGTAAGACCCTGACTCAAAATCAAATCAAAACAAAACAAAACAAAACAAAAAAACCCTTATGATTATATATGATACAATTATTTTTTGTTTGTTTGATGTGTTAACACATGTGATTTAATATTTTTCAGAAGTCTGGATATTTTTTAAGACAAAGTGTTGCTATGTGGCATGGGCTAGCCTCAAACTCTTGCCTCAGCCTCCCAAGTGTTATGATTTTAAGTATTTGTCAACAAGCCTGCCTGACCAGCGACATATGTGGATTGAAAGCTAGTGGCTGGTTGATGGTGGATTTTCAGCTTCAGACTCCCATCCTCTTAATAACAAAAGTGATGATGGGGCCAAGTCAGTAAAGTGTTTGCCATACAAGCCCGAGGATCTGAGTTAAATCCTCAGCACCTATGTTTGAAAACTTAAAAAAAAAAAAAAAAAAAAAAAAAAAAACAGGGGGAAGAAAAAACCCTGTAATCCCAGAGCTTGATGACCAGGCCAGCTGAATTGGCAAGCTTTAGGTTCACTGGAGACCTTGTTTCAAAAAAAAAAAAAAAAAAAAAAAAAAAAAAAAAAAAAAAAACACGAGATGAATAGCAATTGAGAAAGTTGAACAATGTCTACTTCTGACCTCCACATAAGGGCACACTTCCATACAGGTGCACGCACACAAACCTCATATATGCACATGCACAGATGATAAGAACTATTTCTTGGCAAGCTTGTTAGAACTCTTTCTTGAGATTGCAACGCTCCTGAGTTGTTTATGTCCCAGTGAACATCTCTGTGGCCGATTACTTAACAGTGCTACCCCCTGGAGCTGCATGCTGGCCTCGGGTCTTCAGCTTCGTGCTTGACTACATAGGCACCATCTCTAGATCTAATCTGACAAAATAGCTGTGCCAGCGAGTGGGCCGAGGTTTCTGCTTTTCCTTTGATAGTGTCTCAGGTTTGGTCTTTTTTTTTTTTTTTTTTTTTTTTTTTGGCTTCATGTCAGGACTCAGAAGCAGCTATTGGAAACAGCAAAGAACCCATATGAAGAATCAAGCAGAAACATGAGCAGTGATGGGCCTGACTGCAGTGGGGCTGGGATATCTTCTTGCCCCCAACCTTGGGTAATGTTGTCAAAGAACACGAAGCTAAGAATTGGCTTCATAAGAATCATTGTTCATTTTCCTCTTTATTCATGACTTTCAGAGAAAATGAAATCTGTTCTAGCTGCCTGCTGGTCTCACAATGTGTCTTTTAGCCCTAGCATCTAGCCAATCTTCAGCAAGTGCTTTGCGCTCTGGACCTCGGTTCCTCACCAGTAGAGCTTCCTGAAGATGCTAAGATGCTAAGATCCATCTTCATAAATGCCATAAGCATGTGGCTTACTTAGGACCTCTCTCTAAGCAGAGCTCAGTGCTTTGAGGGCTCATGGCTTATGGACTGCTATATTACCTGCAGTGCACTTGATAGGCTATAGAGGTATTGACTGCAAGTTTAATTAATCTCATTTAAGTCATAGGAAAGAATGAGAAATGGTTTCCTGCATGTGTCTCTTTTAAATACATTTTTTAAAAAGATCAAAACTCCACACTGTGGTGAACAGCTTGTTGGCTCTGGGCTGCATTTGGAAGGCGGGGCTGGGGAGCAGTGTCCTCCCAACTGTCTTAACTACCATCCACACCAACTGTATTGCACACATCAGAGGGAGTTGGGGAGATCTGAGTCCACAAACTAGGAGTAGAAGCAGCAGAAACAAATCTGCCCCCATCAGCTGTCTTCCATGGCAGCCAGAGTCCTGGAGCCTATGCGCTTGGGCGGAGAGGCACATGGTCAGAAAATTTGCAGCGGTCTTCTTGACTGGAGTCAGAAATAATGAGCCTATGCCCTTACACAGCAGGTCATTGTATCGATTCTGCAATATGTCACTGCAGAGACCATTAATGAGCAGGAGACAAAGTGTGGCGAGTGTTGTGGGGAATAGAGAGAAAACAGAGCACAGCTCCTGGGAGTCACCCTCATCACCACATTTCTGTCCCTATTACCTCATTGGTGCCACTCGTTAAAGCTTCCCTACACTTCTCTTGATGACTCTGAATTCTAGGTCCTTCCTGTGGAGGGCTCCTTTCTGAACCACTCAGTCAGCCCAAAGCTTGGAGCAGGCCTTCCCCCTGGTAACTTCTTGACAAGGAAGGACTTCACCAGCCTGTCTCCTAGAGCACAGAGAGCATGGCATAATTTTATTCTTCCTTTTTCTGTTTGATCTCTTTTAATATCTAACCTGTGTGGCCTGAGTGCAGGCCAGTCAGCTCTGTTCAGCCTGCATTGCAAGTGCGCAGTCAGTTTGGACAGTGCAAACAATGACAGAATGATCATTTGTTGAGTAAACAGAAATGTGGTTGTGGTTATCTGGGCCTCCCTTTTAGCACTCTGGCTCCTAAGCTGCTCAGCCATGAGGAAACAGCTGATGGGTCCCTGCAAAATAGTAGTTACACTATTGCTTATTAGTGCTCACTGGTGACCCGAGTTACTTAGGACTTGATAGGATGCTTAAATGAATTATATATAGCTATACGAGTGAGTTACTTAGGACTTGATAGGATGCTTAAATGAATTATATATAGCTATAAGCTATACATACGTGCACATGTGCACATTGGCCAATGGGCAGTACTTAGGATACCTATGGATGCTTTTACTATTTGCAGCAAAACAGTAGTTCCCAGGAATCCAAGATTCTTAACCCAAGATTCCAGAATCAGAACAAGTTCCAGGAAAGATAGTTGTGTGCCCTAATAGAAGTTAACACAAGGTTTCCAATTAATGCTGGGATCTCTCAGTACTGGAGAGATGGCTCAGCAGTTAAGATCACTGGCTACTCTCCCAGGGGACTGTGATCTGATTCCCAGCACCCACATGGTGGCTCATAGCCATCTGTAACTCCAGTTCCAGGGGATCCAGCACCCTCTTCTGGGCTCCATGAGCATCAGGCGTGCATATAATGCACAGATATAAATGTGGTCAAAACACCTTACCCATAGTAAAATAATAAAAAGAACAGTTTTAAAGTGGACCTCTCATTAGCCAAAGACGAGTTGGCAAGGCCTTCCATCCCACTTTCACCTTCCTCTGATGCTACAATTTAATGCTTATCAAGGTGACTTGTGAATTACAGCGGTATCCCCTTTCTCCCTGGTCTTTTCTGCAGTTTGTGGTTCTAGAGGAACACCAAGACCCCAAGGGGGGGAGTCTGCCTGTAGCTGGCCCCAACGGCCCTGAAGTGGATGCTGGCCTGTCTTCTAACCTGCAGCCTGGTGAGCACTTATCTTTACCTTGATCTCGAGTGTTTCCCAATCACAAGTATTATACAATCACAAAAAGACCATTAGCATTGTCTGAGCTGAGTGAGAACTGGGTGGTTCTGACACGCCATGTTGTTTAGAGAGATAGGTTTGAATGCATTTCCCTCTTCTATTAAGGTCCTGTCTACTCCAAGCCCAGGCACACTGCAGTCTATAGGTCATTCTGAGTGAGCACACAGGACTCAGCTCCTTCCTGTTGCTGCGAGCATAGCTTCTCTGGAGGTGGAAATGGCTCACCAAAAGCAGGTCCCATGTACTGGTGGGAGTGTCCTATTAATGTTACTTGATCCAGGCATTGTCCCCGGGGACTTCAGAAAACTCTGGTCTTGTCAGGGGTTAAACCTCAGCCAGACTCTTGGCTGTCTGAGAGTCCAGCCAGGCCACCGTGAAACTGAGCCAAGTTCTCAAGCTCTCCTGGAACTCAATCTGCTTCGGGTAGAAACAGAGTCACACATCCTTTGATAAGATCCTTTTGCCAGGACTTGTATTGTGATATGTCTCTTGGGTTCAGGTCTCAGATATCACTGTCCTTTTTACAACCCAGAGGGCAGTGCTGAACATGCTTTTGTGTCATAGGCCTTTGGAAAGGCAAAGGGAATCAATCTCTGAGCCAACAAAAACAGTTCCTCTGCTAATGGCAGGAGCCGGTGAAGTGATGGTGCTACTTATGTTTTCTGATACTTCTTGTCATGCCTATCACTATACCACCCTCTTCCAATTTTCAATAGGAAGAATATAGGGTCTTGTCATGATAAACTCATTCTAAATTTCCATTTTGAACGTGTATTCTGCTCTGTAACCCAGAACACTGAATTCGGTAAAAATGAATGTTATTGCCTAATTTGAGCAAGACCAGTCTGTTAAGGCTCAATTAAGGAATTGAATAAAAACTGTAATAAATGTTTTATTATGGTAACTGTTGCCTGTATACTTTTAAATTTCAGTATTTTCAACAGTTGCCAGGGTGGTGGTGTTGCCAGCGCTATTAATAAGAATGTAAAAGGCTGCCTTACAGTTACGACTTTTCCTTGAGCAACTAAAAGCACATGGTTTCTTGTGGAGATAATCTGCTTAGGAGGAACATGTGGAGTGATATTGAAGCTTAATTTCTGAGTTTTACTCAGAAATGTATTTAACAGAAATATGATTATCCCAGAAAAAAAAGGAGGATTCATATGGTTAGGTCTATATTCCAAGACGGGTTAAAACTGTGGTTCTCAACCTATGAGTCATGATCCCTTTGGGGGTCAAACAATCTTGTCATAGGTGTCACCTGAGACTATTTGCATACCAAATATTTACATTATGATTCACAACAATAGCAAAATTACAGGTATGAAATAGTAGCTAAAGTGATTTTATGATTGGGGGTCACCACAACCTGAGAAACTACATTAAATGGTCTCAGCATTAGAAAGGCTGAGAACTACGGTGTTAGAACATTTTCATTTTTATCCATTCTACAGCAAATGCACTGATTCATTTTCTCTGAGCCATTCACTTGTTCTCCATATGGTTCAATCCCCCATCATGTGTCTGTCATTCACAGTGAAAATTCAAGCAGAGGTTGGGTGGGAAGGAAGAGTGGGGAAGGTTAGTTTTGACTCTGAACCACTGTGTTCTCTGTTCCTAGAAAGGCATGGAAGCGAAGTACTGGTGGTTGACCACAGAGCCATCATCATTGACCTCAGCCAGTGCCAAAGGGCAAGTCAAGGGTCAAGTGAAGAGCACTGTGTTGAGGGAAAGAGAGCCGTGATGGGAGGGAGGAAGTGTCTTTCCAATCTAAACTTTGTTCTAAGGCATTTATGGCCCAGATGTGGAGATAGGATGAACACAGAGCAGCTCTCTTGATCATCTCAACCAATCAAGACTATGCTAATTTTAAAAAATGAGTACCAAATAGGGTGACAGTGTGTTCCTTTGTTTCCAGTGTTTTAAGTCTATTATCCCATGACTATTACAAGGGTCTCTTTTGCCAGACATTGTAAACAATGAAATCTCCTCCTCTCCCTCATCTCCTCCTGCTCCTCTTCTCCCTCCACATTCCCCATCTCCTCTCCCCTTTCCTCCGTCTCTCTTGTCCTCCCTTCCATCTTCTTTGAATAGGGTCAGTGCATCTGAATTCATGGAGACAGAAGCCCCACATATATGGAATGGGCACAGGGCAAAGTTGCTGGATCCCACCACCAAGTGACAAGGGTCCTCAGGAAATGGAGGGAAACGCCCATTTACCCTCCTACAAGGAATGGCCTCTAACTCTGGGGGTTGAGAAGCTTCCTTCTCTCCAGTCAGGTAATGGATCAAGTCAACAAAGGGCCCCAGATCTACCACACCAAACAGAGCCAACTCCGTGGAAATTGGAAGCAGATGAACGATGAAAGAGCAAACCAGACCAATGGGATGTTCTCATTTGAAAATAGATCTACATGCAGATTGGTATTCCAGTCTCTATGGCTAATCCACCACTCAGTGTCCTGAACATAGCGGCACAGCTGCATAGCTGTGAGTTTTGCTTCTTCCTTCAAGCAGTCCCACTGAAGACTTTCAAAAGAAAGAGCCAAGAAAATCATTAGAAACCAAAGTCAAGACACTCACACGTTGTAAGCTGTGTCTTCTTCAATAGATGTTTTTCTTCCTTTCCTTGTTGCCTCAGAAGAAATGAGTTAAAGCAGGTGATCACACATTTTGTCAGTTGCAAAATAATTTATACGATCTACACAAAAGCCTTAGCTCAGTCCCATAAAATGGTTGGAACATTATAACTATTGCTGAGATATACTATGCACATTTATTATTGGGGTGGCCCATGCTCATAATTTGCCTTCTGGGTTGTGAAAATAATTGTAACTTAGAAAATGATTTATTCAGAATTAGATCTTTTTTATACTTTGAAATCTGTGAATGAAAATATTTAACTTTTAAAACATTTCTTAAGAGGCATTAGTGTTTCTTAATCATTTTTCCTTTTGCCAATCTTTCCCAGTGAAAATGGTAAATTCTGGTTTTGCACAATATTTTTTACTTGTTTTAAGATATGAGATTGTAAACAAATTGCTTGATTTATTTTCATCAATTTCTCCCAATTAAATAAAATCACCCTAAAAATATCAGCATTTTATTATATATTTGACGAAGTTGTTATAGTCTGAGCTGAACCAAAGTGATTTGCTAGACTTGTCGTTGTAAAAAAGAAAACTGTACTATCTGATGCTATAAAGTGACGTTGCACACAGATTCTAATGGTACATCTTCCAAGATGTTAGCCAAGATGTTGCTAACACAGAGGATGCAAGAGTTCACACTGTGGCAAAGACAGTTTGGATCTATCGTTAGTCATATTTTCAAACTGGACCTGGTGTAGAAATCTGTAAACATTTGAGGATGGATGACTTCAGTATGACACTTTCCTCTGGCCAATTTAGGTTTGTTCTGAATTCAGTTTTCTGTTGATAATGGATAGCTGAACATTCACAAGGCCAATCTTTGTTTGAGACAGGTTTCTCTGTGTAAGAGTCCTGACTGCCCTGGAACTCACTTTGTAGACCAGGCTGGCCTGGAACTCACAGACATTTTTTACTTGTTTTAAGATATGAGATTGTAAACAAATTGCTTGATTTATTTTCATCAATTTCTCCCAATTAAATAAAATCACCCTAAAAATATCAGCATTTTATTATATATTTGACGAAGTTGTTATAGTCTGAGCTGAACCAAAGTGATTTGCTAGACTTGTCGTTGTAAAAAAGAAAACTGTACTATCTGATGCTATAAAGTGACGTTGCACACAGATTCTAATGGTACATCTTCCAAGATGTTAGCCAAGATGTTGCTAACACAGAGGGTTCACACTGTGGCAAAGACAGTTTGGATCTATCGTTAGTCATATTTTCAAACTGGACCTGGTGTAGAAATCTGTAAACATTTGAGGATGGATGACTTCAGTATGACACTTTGTGGCGTAGACAGTTTGGATCTATCGTTAGTCATATTTTCAAACTGGACCTGGTGTAGAAATCTGTAAACATTTGAGGATGGATGACTTCAGTATGACACTTTCCTCTGGCCAATTTAGGTTTGTTCTGAATTCAGTTTTCTGTTGATAATGGATAGCTGAACATTCACAAGGCCAATCTTTGTTTGAGACAGGTTTCTCTGTGTAACAGTCCTGACTGCCCTGGTACTCACTTTGTAGACCAGGCTGGCCTGGAACTCACAGACATTAGCCTGCCCCTGCCTTCCGAGTGCTGGGATTAAAGGCATGCACCACTGCTGAGTCCTGACTGCCCTGGAACTCACTTTGTAGACCAGGCTGGCCTGGAACTCACAGACATCAGCCTGCCCCTGCCTTCCGAGTGCTGGGATTAAAGGCATGCACCACTGCTGCCCAGCAAAACCTATCTTTTATTTCTGGTAAGTGAACCAACCTCAGAATAATAATAGACATAACCTCTCCACATGTTTCTTTTTATGCTCCCCAAGTTAACATTTTTGAAGCCTTAACTAACTGGATTCCATTTGTGTATCTGAACACACCTATTTTAGAATCTCAAGATAGCCAGTGGAATATGAGACCATAGCCCCCACCCCCAATATATTGTATCAGAAAATCCCCCATTTCTTTGAGCTGATGAGGAAACCTTAGAAATCAGGGCATTGTTAAGTGTTGATGCAGGCCACACCCACAGTCTCTGGTTGGGTTAAAACAGACACGTGCTGTGCAGGCCACACCCACAGTCTCTGGTTGGGTTAAAACAGACACGTGCTGTGCAGGCCACACCCACAGTCCCTGGTTGGGTTAAAACAGACACGTGCCGTGTGTTCTTTCTGTTCCTGCATCACCCTGGGTCTGCCTTCCCTTCCTCCAGCTTCATATCGCTGTTCTTTCGGTTCCTGCATCACCCTGGGTCTGCCTTCCCTTCCTCCAGCTTCATATCGCCATATCTCATTTGTTTGACAATTCAGAAACATTTTCATCTAACATATTTGATTTGTATCTTCTCAAGGCTACATTTTATTTCCTAACGCTCCTGGTCTTGATGTACACAATACCTATGGCCATTCTCTGCTGTCACCTACAGCACGTGAAAGGGACTTCCTGCCCCCTGCAGCACTTCACAAAGGCTTAATACGCTGTGCACTGTGCTCTGTCTCTGTTGACTCTGTGTGGTCTCAGCTCTACCCACTGACTGGTTACAAAGCGCCCTTTCACATGAATATATAATTTTTGTGTAGTTGCTGAAAAGGTGGTGGCATCACCAAATATAATAAAGAAGAATCCCCCTCACACACACACACACACACACACCCCAAAATAAATAAGCAAAATGGCTGAGATAATTAAAAACTCCCTGACAATTTAATGAGCAAGATTTCATGCTTTGTTTTGTTTCTTTTTCTTTTTTATATCTTTACTCAAGAAACCCCCTCTGTTATACTTCCAAGCTCTTTAGTCCAGACATGCCTGAAGCAGAGCACTCTTCCCGTTGAGACACTGGCCGGGTTTCTACAGCAAGAGGCCCTGTGCTGGTGACAAGGAAAACACCATGCTTACCCCTCCAGTAGTCACTATCAGGTGGTGAAGCTCTCATCCTGTATGCTTCTGTCCACATCTGGTCACTGAGACATGCACAGGGTGCCAGGTCTCCCTCACTCCTCCTCATGGTGACTGTTGCCAGGCTGTTGGTCACCCTCACACCCTTTACTTGGTGCTTATCTCTTCTGTAAACCCTAAAGAGAACTAGCCAGCCCAGGCCTGCCACCACACCCAGAAGCATCAGCCTTCCACAAACCTCCCACCCACTCTACTACAGCTCCCACTGGGGGAAGGGGGGAAATAGGGGGGGTGGTGGAAACTGGTCCCATGGTTTTCCCTACAGCTCTAACTTGCCCCTGTTTCCCATTGCCTCACAAGTCCTGACGGATGTCTGTGCTCCAATCTTCAAATCCTCCTTCTAAACCTGATTTTCCTAACTCCTCTTGCAATTATGTAGGATTTAATTTCTATAATAAATTACTTATTATATGATACCCTGTGATTTGCTCCCTGTGTGAGCCCTGACTGACACAACAAGTATATGCAACCAGATACTCAAGATGCACATATCATGCACATTGTTCCATGCAATAGGAAAGAGGAAGAACTCACCTCGTCTTAAACTCTATTTCTCCAGTGGACTGGTACAGACAGAGAAAGCCAAACCCAATTATTAACATAGACGCAAAAGATCTATGCAAAAGATTAGTAATAAACTTGGCCGTGAGTTTTAAAAGCATTTCATGACCAAATGTTAATTACATAATAAGTGAAACATCAGTTGATTATCCCAAGCTAATATGTAAATGATCAAATTACATTACAGTGCAAAAGAAAGCATTGCATAGTATTGACACAAGGTGTTTTCAGAAACATTCACCATGCATTTATGACGAAACTTCTTTGTGAAACAGGAAAAGTGAATTTCTCTAGTGTGATGAAGGAAACTGACCAGAACCTATAGCAATAGTTACATAATACTGAGATACTGAAGGCATCCCCATTAGATCAGGACCAAGACAAGGGAGTTCCATGCATTTATTTTTTAGTCTCATATTTTTATGCTGTATTTATGTAATTTCCTATTTCCTTCTCTTCCTTCCAATCACCCTGTGCCTCCAACCCCATTCAAATACTTGGCCTCTTTTCCTTTAATTATCATTGTTGCACACACATAATTAATAAAGAAATAAAACATGCTGAGTCCATTTAGCATTTAGTGTTGCTCTTATGTCTATGTTTTTAGGACTGACCACTTGGGATTGAATGACCAGGGAGGAGTCATCCCTGGGAAGACGGGTTCTCCCTCTCTCAGTAGCCATCAGTTGCCTATAGCTCTTCATCTGGAGGTGGGACCTTGTTAGATTTCTTTATTTATGTTGTCATGACAACTGATATTATCTCTAAGGTCTTGCTTAGGCACCCATACTGTTGAGATTTCATGGGTGTGGCTTCACAGCAGACATCCTGGTCTTTTGGCCCCCTCTTCTGCCCACTATCAATTCTATTCAAATACCACATTAAGTGCCTTGAATTGTATTCTGATAGCACAGGAATACCCCAAAGCAGTAAGAGTAGATGTTTAAAATGCATAAAGATTAAAAATAAAGTTATTTTCAGAAGATATAGCTGTCTACAAGAAAAGTACAAAGTGATTCACAAATAGAAACACAAAGTCAGTAAATGTCACCAGCAGTCATGGTGGCAGTGGCTCAGCCACCTCTGCTATCAAGATGGGTTCCAGAGCTAGATTCCTGGAACCCACACAGTCAAATGAGAGAACTGACTCCCCAGAGCTGTCCTCTGCCACCAAATATGTGCCATGGCACATGTATGTGCTCACTCTCCCACTTGCTCCTTCTCTCTCCTACACATACAATAATAAAAGACTGAAAAGAAAGTAGTATACTGAAGATACCGAATTCCATATTCAGCAAAGTATTGCTCAAAAGCAAAGGTAATACAAAGACTATCGAGAAAAAGTGGAAGAATTGAAAACAAGAACACCTTCACTAAGCAAATGTTGACGAGAACTTTTTAGCGAGTTTATTTCAACACAGAATAATAAAAGTATAGCAAAAACTAAACAATTGAAAAGGTGGGTAAATGTAAGTAAATGTAGACCTGGTATAAAAATGTGTGTGTGTGTGTGTGTGTGTGTGTGTGTGTGTGTGTGTAAGAACTAAGTAGGAAGTATCAGGTATTCTAGAGCAGTAGTAACTAAGTGTGGTATTGTTAGAGAAGAAATAGAGCAGTA